CTGTACAGGAAACCAGCAAAAAAAATGTTTGGAAAGACTACTAAATAATTCATACTATCAGCACTATCAGAGAATACAAGCGCAGACAGATTCAAAATAATATCCAAAAGACTGTCTATAGCAGTTTCTTCAACAACAAGCACTTTATTTCTTGTGTGTGTGTGTGTGCGCGCGTTTTTGTGACATATGAGGACACAAATTTGTATAATGACATGGGTATGACATAGGTATTACAAGGAGAAGGTGACTTATGAGGACATTATCCCATGTCCCCATTTTTCAAAAGGCTTATAAATCATACAGAGTGAGTTTTTTTTGAGAAAGTAAAACTGCACAAAGTTTCCTGTAAGGGGTAGGTTTAGGTGTAGGGTTGGTGTAGGGCAATAGCACATACAGTTTGTACAGTATAAAAACCATTACGCCTATGGAATGTCCCCACAATTCACAAAAACAAACGTGTGTGTGTGTGTGTGTGTGTGTGTGTGTGTGAAAGCGTGCTCTCTCTGCCTCTGTTAATGATGGACTCCCAGTCTCAGTCTTAGAGACAAACTCAGGTCTTTAGACTCAATATAAGTTTTACCTCATTACCGGGTGCAACCTAGAGAGAGAGAGCAGCCTTGTGCTCCGCGCTCAGAGACCGAGCCCCACAGGAAATCTTTGTAAATTTTATTACAGCTAAAAGGCATCTATTATGGAGGCTTATGGTGGTGCTGTTTTTTTCCTCTCTGGCTGTAGTTCCTCTGCCGGTTTGGAGCGGGGCTACTGTAGCTCCTTGTTTCCTCATTGAAAAGAACTGTCAGAAAAAAAAAATCCCCATTGAGGAATAAAGGGCCTGTTGAATTGAAGGAAGTGCACTTGGGAAGAAGTTGGCTTTGTAATGAAGAGTTGAACTCACAAGGGAAAATACACTAGACTAACTAATCATATTGATATTTCAATGCATTTATGCTTTCAAACACCCGGTTCCTGTCAACCAGGGCTCTAGGTGCGAACCCCCTGTACTGTGATTGCGAGCTGCGCTGGTTGTCTCAGTGGGTGAAGGCTGGGTTTAAAGAGCCTGGCATCGCCCGCTGCGCTGGACCACCAGACATGGCCGACCGACTGCTGCTTACCACCCCTCTCAGTCAATTCCAGTGCAAGGGTGAGTCTCATTTCTGTCTTCTCTCTTCGTGGTTAACACATCTGCAGCGGACACATTGAGCCATGGTGCTCATGTGGGAGACACAGATTTCAATTTGGTCTGTGCCATGTCCTGAGTCAATTTCCGCTCTCTTTCTCTCCCTAAATAATATCCTGTCCTTTTTCCGTTGTTTCTATCAGTCACAAGTCTCCAAAAAGGAAACTTCCAAAAAGTAAGCAAAAAAAAAAAAAAGGTGCAAAGCTGTCACTGGGGCAGTATCCTAAGTGCAAAAGCTAAAAGTACATCTTTGTACCTTATTTACCCCAAAATGGTACATATTGGTACCTTTTGAAAGTGTACCACCCCAGTTTAGTACCTTTTTTTCTGAGATTGTGTAAGTTATGCATTTGCAATGCCATTGTTTTCATGATAAATTAAATTTTGGAACGAAACAAGATATTTGAGGAGAAAAAAAACTGTAGGCTATGACTTGATTTTATTCAGTCAGAACTGGTTGGATCATGAAAAGTGGACATTACGTACCAGAATGGAGTCAGGTTGAAAGAGACTGTTTGAAAAATACGATGTGATGTTATCCAAAAAGAGCAGTCTTGTTATCATTAACTACAGCTTAAAACTGTTAAAATAGTTTGTTATCAGTTAAGTTATACGTTTTTAGTTATTTTCATTAACTAAAATTCAATTAAATTAAATATAAATAATAGATGAAAAAAAAGACTTTAAGAACAAGAATTAGAAATGTTGCCTTGAACTGAAAAGTTTAAGTACTAAAAACCTAAAATTGATATAAAATAAAGCTAAATATAAATATTTAAGAAAATCTAATAAAATTATTAAAGCACTTAACGAAATTATTAAAACTGAAAAAGAAAAGTGTATTCAAAATAATAAATGCATACTATAACAGTACATAAATACTGCAAAAACAACAGTTTCAGTGGAAGAGACAAGTTCTTATATTTTGGTAAAAGTTTTATTTTTTCTAGTAATAGCATGCACAGATATATTGTTTCGCAAGTAAATATGTGACCCTGGACCACAAAACCAGTCATAAGGGTCAATTTTTTGAAATTGAGATTTATACATCAACTGAAAGCTGAATAAATAAGCTTTCCATTGATGTATGGTTTGTTAGAATTGGACAAGGATTATTATAGATATAGAATTGGACTATTTGGCCGAGATACAACTATTTGAAAATCTGGAATCTGAGGGTGCAAAAAAATCTAAATATTGAGAAAATCACCTTTAAAGTTGTCCAAATTAAGTTCTTAGCAATGCATATTACTAATCAAAAATTAAGTTTTGATATATTTACGGTAGGAAATTTACTAAATATC